GGCAAGGACGGTCCCGCGAACGTTAAGTCGTTTCTGATTGCGGTCAGAGCGGTCTGATTGCTCAACATGGCCTGAAGAAAGTACTTCCAGGCCCTGCAGCCGCGGCGCGGCCCTGCAGGACGGGTTCGTGCCGACCGCGTTCGTGCCGACCGCGTTGTTACAAAAATCTCGGAGGTGCGCGGCTGGGCGCTCAGACCCTCTGCGCCTGTGGACCATTCTCGCGCCGACCGCGATTGCGCAATATCGCCGCGCCGACCGCAAGAAGCATGAAACCTGATTCAATGAGTCGCAATGTGCAGCTAATTTACATAACATTATTTTTACGTGAAAACACTGTGGAAAGATTCGAAGTCTGGCTAGCAAGCCAGCCTTTCTGTTAAACATCCTGTCTGATCACATTTACCGTTTGGTAGCCATAGGTAAAGATGTTGAGAGAAATGTGTTCTAGTTGCTATGCCCCCGGACCCCCCTAAGGAGTGTGGATCCATGTCACCTTTTTCATCCCTGATGAGTTTGCACCCCTGAAGTAGATAAAGTTAAGTCAAATAAGTCGGCAAGTATATACATCAGTATATGAGCAGCATGATTAACAAATTTGCAAGCCATCTGCAGCTCTCCTTTAATTCACAAATGACATTATAAACACCAGTAGCCAAAATTTTACTGGACAAAAGTGTGCCTTTTGAACGTTACACAAATCAGCCATAACATAAGACTTAGTATGCAGGGAATGACAAATAAAATAAAAGTGCTCTTTAAAAGCATTGTAAATGAGTTAAGGATCAGAAATAATGTAATTTTCACTTGTATTTGGTTTACAGGGTCTTTGTTAGTTTTATTTAGAACATTGTTCGATTGATTCCAAAATTGTCGAGAGATATGGACGTTCTGAGAAAAACTTTCTTCATAGTAATTAGCTTTGAGTTTAGTTAAGTTTAAGATAAGATACAACTTTATTGATCCCGCATTGGGGTAAATTTAGGCAGTGAATTTCATGGCAGTGACATTTGAACCTGTTGTACACAATCTACTGATGAATTAAAGAATACATGTAAAAATGTACCTACAAAATACATCTACCTAAATATACACACACATATAAATAAATAAATACGTAAATACAACATTCAAACAATTACAATAGGAAAATTAATCAAATGAAGATGTTTATCTTATTGGATGGCAATAGATGAGAATACTCAGTCAAAACATACTAACAATTTGAATCTATTTTTATTTTTTTCTCGGGTTATGTATCTTAGAAGTGAGTTCCACTGCTGCATTGCTCGAAACATAACTGTTCTTTTAATTGAGTTTGTTGCATGCCTGGTTGAGTAGTTATGAGTTGCTTCACAGAAAGTTAAATTATAAAACAAAACAATTGGAATCTTTTTTACAATAATGTTTCTGATTAATGTCAAAAGTGAGTATCATAGTCTGTTTTTTAACAAAAACCAAGACAAACAGCTATGCATTACAACAACATACTGTGTTTACGATGGAGTGCAATTCGTGCTGCCCTGTTTTGTACCATCTGTAATTTTATCTGCTGTAAGACTGGACCAAACTGCTGGGAAGTTATCAAGATTAGAGAGTATTAATGCACTGATCACCTGTCTCATTGAGTCTGCTGTTAAAAACCTTGCACATCTTGTAATAAAAGACAATAATTTACAATAGCCCATCTTGGCAACTGTATGGTCTATTTGTTTCTGTTTCATGACAGTTTACTATCCGAGATGATTCCCAGGAGCTTGGTTTCCTTCACTTACAGTATGTACATCATTTATGCAAAGCTTCAACACAGGTTCTTTGTACAGAGAATGACATGGGCCCAGAACCATACATTTTGTTTTAGTGATACTCAGAACTAATTTATTATTTACTATCCATTTAACCACTGATTTCAGTTGTGTTTCATTCTAGGTTTAACTTGCTAGATGTGAACATGTTGTTGCTTCATCTACAAACGTAGTTATCTTAGCCCTATTTAAAACTAGTGGCGAGTCATTTGTAAAAATACAGTACATTAATAGACCCAGACAGCTCCCTTGGGGAACTCCACAGCTATCAGAATAGCTCCCATTAAAGTAGACCTTTTGTACCCTATTAGTTAAATAACTCTTAATCCATCGTAATGCAGAGTCAACAAAGCCATAACATTGCAACTTTTAGAGCAATAACTTGTGATCTGTTATGTCAAATGCTGCTAAGTCTAGTAAGACAGTGCCTACCATTTTCCTGTCTTCCACTTCTCTCAGCTAGTCATCTTTGCATTCCTTGTTTTAGTCTAACATAAGTTCCTCAAATATCTGTAGGTCTCCCAGTCATGAGAATGTTTATGTTTATCAATTAAGCTAGTGACCACAGAATAAAAGAAGTGTCACAGCCTGGGTCATAGACAGCGACAAAGTTGGGAGACACACAGACATATTTATTAATAAAGCAATTTATTCACAAGGAAATTAATCAAACTTGCAAAAATGTGTTGATTTGAAGAATCTTTAAATTAAGTTGTGTAAGGTGTTTGTGTGTGAAAATATGCTGTATGGGTGATGTGCTGTAAAACTAAAGACAAAGAATCAAAAGATGTGTGGTCACAAGAGTCTCTCTGAGGGTCTCCCAGACTGACTGCTGCTCGGGTTTAAGGTAGTGGCATACCAGGCCCAGGTGTGTCCCATCTCCTGATTACCTGCTCACGAGGGCCCTCATTTATCAACAAGCTTACAAATGAAATTTAGAATGTGCATAAGTGAAAAAAATATATTTATTAAACATGCAGATGGAGGGCGCATTTGTAGGAAATCAGTGTTAATAAATCCTACATGTTCTTAACAAGAAGGCTCGTGCCTGTTCGGTGACATTCTTCTCTAGTAATCTTATCATGTAAACAAGTTTCTGAGAAAGTGATAATATGAGGTTTTTGGAGAGTAAACCATGTCCTGAGTAGATCAACATTTGGGACAAGGCTCTTAATATTAAGATGGATAACTTTTAAAGTCTTAGCAAAATCAATTCTTAACGGTTGACTGCTACTGTTTCAGCACATGAAACAAGTGAAATAACGTTTCCAAACTTTTTGAGGAGTTTAGTTCAAAAACTTGAGGGAGTTGACATAAGAACTTACATGGCTCACTCCTTAAAGGTAAGACCTCAAAAGCGGCATCCATTTATAAGTTTTAAAAAGCATCAACAGCATTCTCTGTTTATGTTGACAATCTGAGAGCGGAGGAGATCATGTATGAAGTGTCCTCCTTTTCCTCATCCTCTTATAACAGTGAAGTTTTGAAGTTTTGATTCCAGTCTGGTATGGTCTGTATTTGTTTTGGCCAGAGAAGGTAAGCGCTTTTAAGGCACCCCCACACAGCCGTTTTAACCAGTTATGATACAAGTTATGACGGAAAACTATCATGTGTTGCAGCGTTGGAAATGGTATTGGTATTTTTCTAATAAGCTCCACAGCACAAATACTGAAGATGCTTTTTAAAAATGGCAATCTGTGTACACATCGACAGAGGGGAGACAGCTCTCCTCAATGTTTTGAAATTGGAGAGCAGCCCATAATGGTTGTCATCATGACACAGGTGTTATTTCATCGACAAATCTTTGAGCACTGTTCTGCATTGGGCTGAAATATTGACTAGCCTCAGTTGTAATTTAGCCATGAAGAGATCCAACCCCTCAGGGCCACGAGTGAAGTAAGGTACCAAAGTGGCATGGAACGTCACTGCCTCGTGAACAAGGGGTTGCCCAATCACCTTATAAAAATGTCTTCAAGTCCATCTTTGGTTTGTCTGGAGGAGATTCATGTCAACTGAGGTAAATCTGACTCACACAGAAACATACAGGTTAACTATGTTTTTTTCCCACTGTTAAACAAGTATTGAATCTAGTTCATCAGTTTTGTTGAAATATATATATTAGCATATTATGTTTGTGATTAGCACATCCAAAAATTGTAATCTAGCATTTTTTTGTAAAATATGCAAAGATTAAAAGAGTGAAAAAAGTGGTAATTTAGAAAAGTTTTTTGACTAAAGTTGTCTTACTGCAATTATTAGGGTTTGAAGGAAATTAACCTTGCTCAAATTAAATATAGAATATTTTCAGAGCTGCTTTTGATATTATAATCATATTTGTTGGATTAAATCAGTGTCAATATATTCTATATACAAAAATACCCAACATGAAAAATGCATTTACTTACAGATTCAAGTGTCCTCCTGTTCGCTAACAACGTTCAAGAGTTGTATACATTTACACAGACATTTATTTAATGTTGGGCAGTACATTAATGGGCAATTCTGGAAATTAGTCATAACACAATTGACCTTTGAGCTATAAAGTGTTTAAAGGACATTATGTTTGCTTTCCCTGAAACAGGTTATTTGTAATAATACTATAGTTTCAGTTTAGCAGTCATACGTTACAAACAGTATTAATATTTGTCTTTTAAAGATAATAGAGATGAAATCACTTTAATGTTTTTAATTGTTTTTATTTTCTATATAATGCTAGTACATAGAAAAAAAATGGTGTTATCTTGAAATGTTGTGTTGATGTGAAAGTAACCTACATGTTTTATCTCTCTCTGCAGCAGATTAAGTTAACATTAAGTTTGCATTCTGGCAGTGATTTGTTTCTTAAACGGTCCTGAATAAATTATTTTAAAAGCAATAAAAGCACATAGTTATATTATGCATCATATGCCATGATCTAATATGTTAAATTTAGTTTGAAAAAGCAATTTAAATGGAGATACAACAATGTGGTTTAATTTCAGTGTGAGGTCTGCATTGTTTATCTCTGTAAAAGGCAAGATATAAAGAGTTATATTTGTATAATTATTTACTTGTATTTTTATCTTGCATTTTATCAACTTATTCCTTTTTATCTTAAAGTTGAAATTGATTCACTGTCAATATCAATACCACAACTTTTTTCAGATGGAGTTTTGACTGACTCAGTTTATCTGTCTGCCTCTCCTGGCTCGCTGCAGCATGGAGAACTTTTCTTTCAATGCAAACATTTTACTGATGGAGGGATTAAAGGTTAGCCCATCGTCCTCTGTTCCTGCCTTCATCTTCCTCCTCCTCATCTACATCTTCATCATGGTGTCCAACATTGGTCTGGTGGTCCTGATCTCCATGGAGAGGAGCCTCCATGAGCCCATGTATCTGCTCTTCTGTAACATGAGTATAAACGATGTGTTTGGGGCCACAACCATTATTCCTCGCATACTGAGTGATGTTTTCACTCCAATGTCACAGAGGTACATTCCTTATATAAGCTGCGCCATTCAGGCTTTCTGTGTTCACTTTCATGCAGGCGCCTCTTACTCAGTGCTCATGGTCATGGCTTATGATCGTTATGTTGCAATCTGCAATCCGTTGCGCTATGTCACCATTATGACCAACAGGATGGTGGTCAAACTGTCAGTTGGGGCTTGGGTGGCAGCACTCATCTTTGTCACAATCCTTCTGGGTCTCACCTTCCGTCTCACAATCTGCCGACAGACTATTATGAATCCATTCTGTGACAACCCTTCTCTGTTCAAATTGTCTTGCCAGAATCTTCTCATTAACAACATCTACGGCCTCGGGATGGCCGTCGTAATTCTGGGCTCCTCACTCTGCAGTATCACTTTCACCTACCTGAGAATCGCCATGTTATGTTTCAGAAGTAAGAACAAGGCTCAGATCAGTAAAGCTCTGCAGACTTGTGTTTCCCATTTAGTTGTGTTCCTCATCCTGCTTTTTTCAGGTGGGATCATCAGCACCCTCCATCGTTTCCCTAATTTATCAGATGAGAGGAAGTTTGCCTCCATCATGTTCCATGTGGTTCCTCCTTCCATGAACGCTGTTATCTATGGACTGCAAATCAAAGCAGTCAGAGAAAAAATAAGGGTTATATTGAACAGGAATAAAAAGACTATGTCAGCGGTGAAATGACTGTAACCAACCAAATTTGTAAACATGTTATTGCAATACTTTAGCTATTTGTAGAAATGTAAAATTCATTAATTTCATGTGAAATGAAAGCATGCTAGATACACTTGTTTCAAATTTTAAATATTTTGAATAATCATTCAATAAGAATTTGTTACAAAACAGTTAAGAGATCAACAGTATGTGGCCACCTAAAAAACAAATTATAGGACAATTAGAGAGGAAGCTTGAGGATTAAAAACTGTTAAACATATTTTTAATTGAAGGCTGCATGTCTTCATTTCTATATGTCCATTGTAGTTGAATTTGAAAATGTTTGTGTTTTGTGTCATGTTTTTTTTAATAGATGTTTCTGATACATGCCTTAAAACACTCGACTGAAAGTGTTTCAGGGGTGATCGCACAAAACTCTTTGTACCACAAGTATTACATTATATTTGTATTTGTTCTATAGTTATTCAAATAAATGTATGAAAAGACACACATCAGTCAAAATCATGACTTTGCATTAAGTAATCATCATTCTTTAAATCTTGCTTTGACAAAAGAATCAAGAGTTACTTTGTCAGATATGTCATACCTTCATGTGAAAGATTTAAGGCAGACCTGTAAATCACACACACACACACACACGCACACACACACACACACACACACACACACACACACACACACACACACACACACACACACACACACACAAACTTATACTACCAATAGGGGACGATAATTTCACACTGACCAACTGGGTACTTCTGTTTCTGATCATTCGGAAAATACAAAAATATAATTGGAGATTTACTTTCACGGCCTTTAACCATAATGTCATTTCAAATATTTTAATCAATTTGATTTTTTAAGAAGTTGCCAAGCAGGGACATGCAGGCCTGAGCGCTATCTACCTGTCTAAGAAGGGACCTTCATACACAGCAAACAAACTGTCTGTGCCCATTCTTTTAGATTGTTAATGTTTGTTTACTGCAAAGCTACTCCTTACAAAAATTTATCTTTGAACCTTTTTCTCTTTGCACACCAACTCAATTAACACAAACATGCATTCATACACATCAGCGATCATTCACATGTTTCTTTGCTCTATTGGCTTAAAGTGTTGTTTATCACAGATAATTAATAATTTACAGTTGTTGATTATGGTCAGTATTACTTAATCAAAATGTACATGTCTACATTTTAAGGAGCACTTTATGTTAATATTTTGTAGATATGCATTTCGGTAACAGTTGGTTGTGACAGTCAGTACTCAGATTCAAACCTACCTTAATCACCTTATGAATGTAAAAATGGGTTGTAATTCTTTTTTTTTACAGAGCACCTTTGACATTGTCTCCAAAGCTCATTTATTGGTCAATTGCCCCAGTGGGGTGCACTGCTTGATCAATTTATACTCATGACTTATGGATATTAATACATTTATTTCAAAACAAGCTATCAGTATTTGTTAGTAATCAAACCTGCTCCTTGCAGATCCCAGATATTTCTTGAGCTTGATCACAAAGACATTCAAATCAAAATCAATCAAAATCAGAATTAGAAACAGCTTTATTGGCCAGGTATGATAACACATACAGGGAATGTAACTTGAATAGACTGTGCTCTCAATGTACAAAAGTATAACAATACATATAAACAAATACTACATACAAAAAGCCTGAGTGGAATAGATAAAGATTAAAAAATTTGGTAGTTTTTGAGAGACTGTATTCAGGCAAAGTAAGATATAGTATAGGGATAATGCCTGATGAGGTTTAAGTGATTAAGCGACAACTTTTGGAATTGAGCTGAAATTCTGCCATCTTGACAAGCCTTTGTTATGATTTTGCGATGAAGAAATCCAAGACCTTGGAGATGGCCTGTAAGGTACCAGTGTGGCAGGAACGTCATTTTCTCATGCTGCAATGGATGCTCAGTGTTATAAAATGCCTGCCAGTCCACTTCTGGTCTGTCTGGAGGAGGTTCACATCAACCAAGGTAAACCTGACACACACACTCATGTCAAAACTGATAGTTTCCAATGTTCACAGATCATTTAATTTGTCTGACAGGCCAAAAAAGAAAACACTTGATATTTATGAACTATAATATGCTGAATTGAAAAATAAGCCAATTTTAAATGACAGACTGTAGTAATACGAAGCAGTTTTAAATGTTCTCACTAATATCATGCTCGCTGATGTTATAAATGCTGTGTAAATGAGTTCAATCTGAATCGGTCAACCTTTCAGCTGTTTTGCTTGTCATAGAAAATCATCTTTGCTTAAATTTAAACAATTGTAACTAATTTGTTGTTAAAAATGCTTTCAGTTCAAATGTTCATATAAGACATAGTATTTTAGATATTGGAAAAACAATGTAGCTTTAAAAAAAACTTTAATTGCTAGCAGTTTTCTTTCAGTTCTTTTTTAATCTCTTTCTTTGGTCAGCAAATTAGTCTTTATGCAAAAAATTTATGTGACTACTTATTGCAAGTTAGACTGACATTATTCTAATAACCTTTTAATAAACACTTAAACTAAATGATTACTAATAACCATCATTTGACTGCTCCTTTCAAGGTTAGTAAAAACCTACAATCATCCACAATCCAAATATACCCCTCAGAGTATTTCTGATTGTGATTCTGAATTTCGTTTAGACATTGTGTTATATGAGTGACTCTAGTACCAGGCAAGTTACGTCCATCCAGTCAGTAATATCTAAAAAAGTCTGATGGAAATAATTTCAAAAGCAGTGAAATAACATATGTGAAACTGTGCTGTATATGAAGTAATGTTTATCTATAGTGAAAGTTGTGCTTTGCTTCAACTTGAAAAATGTTTCAAATGACAAACAATGGCTTGTAAACCTTTGAATCCCCTTTAGGAAAACAACAACTGAAAGGCTTTTTTTATTTGATTACCTTAAATGAAATAAGAGGTGTGAGAAAGACTTTTCAGTTCTATATTTTCTATATTAAACTCTTGAAACTGAGACTATGTTTTCTTTATAACTTTTGTACCATATGTTTGTTATTGTTTTGACTTACCTTTATATAATTTAGAAAGGTAAAATGTGCATTATTAAGAAGAGCTTAGGTTCACAACGCAATGTGCTACATTTGGCCATACAGGCTCATTTTCATCTGTAGTCCCTAGCAGGTTGACAATACACAAATATGATCATAATAAATGTCACTGTATGAGTAATATTGATGCTTTGTATCTCAGATGTCCACCAGTCTAAAAGTTAAATGTAAACTTACACGATAATAAATTGTTGTCTGAATTTTCCGTCTATTATTCTCTCCAGGGTCCACACATCTAGTATGGAAAATCACACTTTCATTGTGAATGTTCTACTGATTGAAGGGTTAAAGGTCAGCCCATCGTCCTCTGTTCCTGCCTTCATCTTCCTCCTCCTCATCTACATCTTCATCATGGTGTCCAACATCGGTCTGGTGGTCTTGATCTTCATGGATAGGAGCCTCCATGAGCCCATGTATCTGCTCTTCTGTAACATGAGTATTAATGATGTGTTTGGGGCCATAACAATTATTCCTCCCATACTGAGTGATGTGTTTACTCCAATATCAAAGAGGTACATTCATTATACAAGCTGTGCCATTCAGGCCTTCTGTGTTCACTTTCATGCATGCACCTCATACACAGTGCTCATGATCATGGCTTTTGATCGCTATGTGGCAATCTGCAACCCATTACGATACGCCACCATCATGACCAACAGGATGGTGGTCAGACTATCAGTGGCGAACTGGGCTACATCTTTTTTCTTTGTCACAATCCTCATGAGTCTTACCTACCGCCTGACACGCTGCAGGCAATTCATAAACAACCCGTTCTGTGACAATGCCTCTTTATTTAAACTCTCCTGTGAGAATCTTCTCATTAACAACATCTACGGCCTCGGCAATGCTGCAATCATCTTGGGCGCCTCTATTGGCAGCACTACAGTCACCTACCTGAGAATCGCCATTGTGTGTTTAAGAAGTAAGAACAAGGCTCAGATCAGTAAAGCTTTGCAGACCTGTGTTTCACACCTGGTGGTCTACATTATCCTGCTCTTGTCAGGTGGCATCATCAGCATCCTCCATCGTTTCCCTAATTTATCAGATGAGAGGAAGCTGGCATCCATCATGTTCCATGTGGTTCCTCCTTCCATGAACGCTGTTATCTACGGACTGCAAATCAAAGCTATAAGACAGAAAATGATGATTTTATTTAAAAGGAATAAAGTTTTTTAAGGAGGTGTTTGCACATCCAACTATCTCATAAGGTAGCTGTGTAGGGTGACAAACTATTACTTGAAAATGAAAAATCCTGTCAAGTGTGTACACAAATTGGTGATACTTAGCAATAGTAGTACGGGATTTTTTCTTTTCAAGTAATTTAAAAGGAACAAAAAGACTGTGTCAGGGGGGAAATCACCATACCCTACCAAATGTAAACACTAAAATATGCTATGTCAGAGCTTAAAAGGTATTATATGCAGCTTTCTATCTAGTAGGTGTCACACTTTAACACTGGTCTCTCAAACAAAAATCAAACTCCCTGAGCACACCGCGCCCCTACCCTCCCTCAGTGTTCTGACTGTGTGCAGCTGTATTCAGGACTGATCTCCGTTCTGAAACGCAACAAAGTAGATTCTTGGCAAACAAAGCTTTTATTATGTACTGAAATTAAGATGGTTCTCCTGTAATTGTATACTTCTGGAAATACTCTGCAACTGTGCCCCTACAAACAGTGTCCCTAAGTGGGATAGCAGTTGGACAGGGAGGGGTTCACAGAAGAAAAAAAAAGTATGAAACATGTTTGAGACACCGATTGAAACATAAACAAGTTGAAGGAAATACCATCCCATCTATGTGAACACATAGCTGAAAACAACAAACCCAAAGGGAGTTTGAATTCACTCTGTTTTTAGAAAGTCATTACTCAACCATACATTTAGTGAGGATATCTTTAATATCTGCCATAAAATGTTGCATTTAATACCTTAAATAGTTACTTAAAGGTCCCATATTATGTTTTTTCTGGTTTTATATGCTCTTTAGTGTGTTTTCCAAATGTCCTGTGCATGTTTAGGCACATCTATGTGCAAAAATTCAAAGTCTGTGGAAACGCGGCTTCTCCTACGTCCTCCTGTTAGCTGTAGCATTAGCCGCATGTAACGCTCGATTCTAGCCCCCCTCGAAAAAAAAATGTCAGTCCGACGTCATTGTCAGTGTGAGATCACTGATCTAAACCCATTGGCTCGTTGTGGCAAGCCCTGCAGCTCATGTTGAAATTTCCGAGACAACTGACCAATAACGACAGAGCGGATCGGCAGACCAGTCAGAGCAGACTTGGCCCACGTGGGGTCTAACAGTGGGGGCTCAGCAGAGCGTAGCTGACGGACTCAGAGCGGAGAGGGAGCCAGAAGGAGCAGTACATGAAAACAGACACTTTTTTAGAACTTTAGCTATTGTGAACGTACAAAAGTAGGTACATAGATTAAATATACGAACCCCAAAAAGGGCAGAATATGGGCCCTTTAATACAGTGCCATACGGTATAGTATGAATGTCAGAAATTAGTTTAGCATTTTATTCAACTTAACATCAGGTATGAAACGATATAACAATGTTCCAGGAGGAATGTGGCAACTCTGAAAAAAACCAGTGAATGAATGATGATACAATGAGGCTCTTAATGCCACAAGTATTTTTTATAGTATAGATGTGTTTTTATGAATGTTTGTTGAAATATGTCCATATAATAAAAAAGAAGGTATATAATAAACCACTCTCCAAACAATAAATTTACTGTTTGGCTTTTAATTACAGGTAATTCTTAGTTGTAAATAATATATATAATAATTGGGAAATTCAATTCAAGAAGTATGACTCAATCTTTGATTATCCTTTGTTGGTGGAAAAGATGGAAAAACTACTTCTGGTGAAGGCCTCCATAGTGTACCAATCATCAATCATTCAATCTTAATTGTAAATCGCCAATTCACAACAAATGTTATATCATGAAGCTTGGTAAAAGACCTTTGTACTCATGGTTCTATTGTCTACAAAATACCCACATTAATCCATCAAGAGCATTAAGCAATAGTTACCAAAGTTACGATGGCAAGAAAAAGCTACCCTGCTATTGGACGCGTGAAGGTGATGTCAGGGAGCGCTGCGCTCAAGCAGAAATTTTTGCAACTTGCGCTCAACTGGGCGGCGAGGAGATACACTCTCGCGCAGAGCAACACAGTAGACAATGACAGGCTTGACAGCGGCGCACAGTGCCCACCGCGTCCTATCTGAAAGGCCTTTACAGCTCCCAGGGAAGAGACAGTCATTTTTGCTTGTTATTCATTAAGCTCTCTTAAGTACAGGAAGCGCTATTCTCTTGCTCAGTTGTCCGCGATCTCTCTTACCATGCAAGAGCAGGTTTTGGATGCTAACTGACACCAAATTTTCCGGAAGTTTTGATAATAATTTTTCAAATTAAACATTTAATGGTAATTTGAGCTTTTATAGCGACAGCCGACCCACATAAAAGTTCATAAAAAAAAGTGAATGCCGATAATTACCAAAAAACAGGTCAAGGGACATGTGCCCAGCTTTAAGAATGTGTCATGGCCTTCCATCGCTATGAAGCAGTTTAAACTGGATATTTGTGTAATCTCTTTGGATTGCGACGTGTTTTTGAGGATTTGCTTTCGGTAGTTATCGATCTTTTGTCTGTTTTTACAAGCAACGATAAAAAAATGGGTTTTAGAAACTGTACATCCTTCCCTTTTGATTTTTCACAGGAATGTTGACCCAGCACCTAGTTTAAATTACTAAGGGATACTGCAAATGCAGGGGCTGTCGTCAGAAAAATGACCACTGTGTTCACCTATTTAACATGAGAAAGATATTAAGATAAATATATAACAAGGAAGTATTTGAGATAAGAACTTTAAAGTACCTAATTGGTCATGGACGTCACTGTTTTGTAAATCAGAAGCTGCTTACTCTGATTATATAAAAGTCTGCCAGTCTACCTCTGGCATGTATGGAGGAGGATCCTGTCAATGGAGGTTAACCTAACACACATACTCATCCAGGTAAACACTGCTGGTTTCCACTGTTCAGAGAACACTGAATGTACTGCATCATTTATGTTGTGTTGAAAAAGAAAACACAACTGTGAAATGTTTATTTTGATTAGCTGTTATTGGCATAAAAATTGGAGAAGAATCCATAATTAAACAATCTGTTGTTTATTTCCATTCTATTTTATTTCCTTATCCAGGCGAAATGCATACAGGTATAAGTAAGGTCTTTTATCTGCTTTTTGTAAAGTGTCTTGAGATAACACTTGTTATGAGTTGACACTATACAAAAATAAATTGAATTGAATTGAATTGAATTGAAATTGAATACAGGTGCAGGACAAGTAATGTACAAACTGCAGAAAGCAGAGAAAGGTCTCCACACTGTTCAGCTTCGAATGGGAGTTTTAGACAGGGCAATGTTTCGATCTACACGATCTTCCTGATTAAATATTTAAACATTCTATCTTTAAATATTTCATCATGATATGAATGAACCACAGTGACTCTTTAAATGAGTTTATTCTACCGTCATATTTGGTCTCAATGACTTTTTGAATAGCAGCTTTTTTTTTACAAATTACAAGTTGTGTATTGATATACAAAAATAATACAAATTAACAAAAAATATAAAATCATGAATGTACAGGTTTGTGTTATTGAGTTATCGAAATGCTGTGACTGTTAGGCAAAATATTTCCACATTATCTTTACTTTCTTTAAAGCCATTATAAATCACTCCTATTGATTCGGGAAAGAGTTGCTTCCATCGCTAAAAAAAAACTGATTAGGACGATGATTTTAAGAATGCCTCTAGAAGATGCTGATACTTAAGCTATTTTATCTGTATTTTAAGAAGTACGTCTTGTGTTTTTAACTCTTACTATCACATTTAGGAGAAACCCCATAGTTATCTTGAAATGATTTAACGATTATCTGTGAATAAAAAATATAATATAATGATCCTGAAAGTGCAGGACAAGTAATGTTTGAACTGCAGAAAAAAGAGAAAGGTCATTGAACTGTGCCCAATACCAATTTTATTTCGACAGGGTAATGTTTTGATCATCAATATCTTCCTGATTAAATATTCAAACATTCTATCTTAAAATAATAATAATAATAATAACTTTATTTATATAGCACCTTTTAAAAACACAGGTTTACAAAGTGCTTTGACAAACAGCAAGAACAAAGCAAACTAAACACAGAAAAACATTAACAACAGTAAGAATATAACAGATGCAAAATACCAAAAATAATTAAAAACAATTCAACAGAAAAGAACCCAAAGTGCACGATACACAACCAGACATATATAACCCAACCATCATAAGAACCATCATAAGAACCCAGGAACACAAGAACCCAACAACATGAGCTGAGACCAAGAGGACCAAAGATTTAAAAAGATGTAAGAAACTAAGAGATAAAAGCAAATAAAAAGCAATGAGAAGGTAAGCGCAGTAAAGGAAATAAAAACAAGTGGTTAAAGGATCAAAAAACCCAAAACTATAATATTAATAAAAATAAAAATTAACTATAAATACGAAACATAAATAGACAAAGTAAGTAAGATAAGAAATTACCAAGTTAAAACACAAGAGGAGATTAAGATATGAGCATAAATACGAGATAAGACCATAAATAAAAGACAGTAAGAAGTAGAAGAAGATAAAAATAGTAAAACCAGTAAGAGAAGACATTAAGAAGACGACATCACATAAAAGCAAGTCTGTAAAAGTATGTTTTAAGAAGGGATTTAAAAGAATTGAGGGAGTCTGCGAGTCTTATCTCCTCAGGGAGGTCGTTCCAAAGTCGAGGGGCCCTGACTGAAAAGGCCCGGTCACCTTTAGTTTTAAGTCTCGACTTTGGAACGACCAGGAGGCTCCCACCCGAGGATCTAAGACTGCGGGCTGGCTCATATGGTGTCAGTAACTCTGTTATATAGCTTGGAGCCAGCCCCGTCCGTGCTTTAAAAGTAATGAGTAAAATCTTAAAATCGATTCTAGAACGTACAGGAAGCCAGTGTAATGAAGCTAAAATTGGAGTGATGTGATGTCGTCTGTTACAACCAGTAAGAAGCCTAGCTGCTGCATTTTGGACCAGCTGGAGGCGAGACAGTGACTTATTTGTGATTCCGGAAAAGAGGGAGTTACAGTAGTC